CAGAATTTACAAGAAATCCAAACAACTCAACAAAAAAACCCCAAATAACCCCATTAAAAAGTGACCTAAGGACATGAGTAGATATTTTTCCAAAAGAAGACAAACAAATGGCCAAAAATCATATGAAAAAATATTCAACATCGCTAATCATCAGAGAAATGCAAACGAAAACCACAATGAGATATCATCTTACAGCAATCAGAATGGCTGTTACTAAAAATACAAAAAATAACATGTTGGTGAGGATGCAGAGGAAAGGGAACTCCTATACACTGTTAGTGGGACTGCAAATTAATGCAACTTCTATGGAAAACAGTATGGAGATTTCTCAAAAAGCTAAAAATAGAACTACCATATGATCCAGCAATTCCATTACTTGATATCTCCCCAAAGGAAGAGAAATCAATATAACAAAAATATATCTGTACTTGTATGTTTATTGCAGCACTATTCACAATAGCAAAGGCATGGAATCAACCTGTGTCCATTAGTAGAGGACTGGATAAAGAAAATGTGATATATACACACAATGGAATACTGTTCGGCCATAAAAAAGAATGAAATCATAACTTTTGCAGCCACATGAATGGAAATGGAGGCCATTATCATAAGTGAAACAACTCAGACACAGACAAACACCACATGTTCTCATTTATAAGTAGGAACTGAATAATGTGTACACATGGAAGCAGAGGTGGAATGACGGATAATGGAGACTAGGAGGGGTAAGGTGGAGAGGTGTTGGAATGATGGGAGATTACTTGGCAGGTACAATGTGCATTGTTCCAGTGATAGATGCACTGAAGGCCCTGACTTCACCACAGTGCAATATATCGATGTAGCAAAATTGCATTTGTACCTCATAATATATAGAAATAAAAAATAAATGGAAAAAAATTTGTTAAATGCCTATGTGTCCCTTAGTAATCCCTCCATTCTGACCTAGGCAAACATTGGTCAGATTTTTTTCACTGTGCATTTGATTGACTTCTACAGGTTTTCTGTAGATTTTCTTTATCAGGTTGAAAAGTTCACTTTCACTCCTGATTTCCTTAGAATTTTTAATATGAACAGGGTGTTAAATTTTGTCAAATATTTTTCTACAGCTATTGATACCATCATATGGATTTTTTCTTTATTCTGTTGATATTATGAGTTATATTACAGTCATGTGTAACAATGGGAATATGTTCTTAAAAATGTGTCCTTAGGTGATTTCATCATTTTGGGAACATCACAGAGTGTAGTTACACAAACCTAGATGATATAGCCTATTGCTCCTAGGCTATAAACCTGTATACCATGTTACTGTACTGAATACTGCAGGCAATTGTAACACAATGGTAAGTATTTGTATATCTAAACATAGAAAAGGTACAATAACAACATGGTATTATAATCTTATGGTACCACCATCGTTTATGTGGTCCATTGTTGACTGAAATGTCATTATTTGGTGTATGACTGTAACTGATTTTCACATGTTGCTTTCCTGGGATAAACCTCACTTGGTCATGGTGTATTATCATTTTTATATATTGCTGGATTTGATTTGTTAATTTTTTAAAGGATATTTGCATCTATCTTCATGAGGGATATTGGTCAGTAGTTTTTTTCCTAAATGGCTTTACCTGGTTTTAGTATCAGGGTAATGCTAGCATCATAAAATGTGCTCCTTACTCCTTTAGTTTTTTTGTGGGGGGGTTGTTTTTATTTTTACCTTATTTTTTTAAAGAGATAGAGTCTTCCTATGTTGCCAGGCTGGCCTCAAACTCCTTTACTCAAGCAATCTTCCCACTTCACCCTCCATCCTTTGTTTTTTGAAAGAATTTGTAGAGGACTGTATTATTTCCTCCTTAAATATTTGGTAGAATTCAACAGAAAAACCATCTGAGCCTTTGAGTTTTCTTTTTGGAAAAATTTTGAATTATTAATTTAATTTTTAATAGATATAGGACTATCAGATTTTCCAGTTTTTCTTAAGTCAGTTTTGATAGTGTGTGTCTGCAAGGAATTTGTCCATTTCATCTAAGTTGTCAAATTTATTGGCATAAAGTGGTTCATAATATTCATTTATTATTCTTTTAATGTCTGTAGCATCTGTAGTGATGTCCTCTCTTTCATTCCTGATGTTAGTAACTTGTGTCACATTTTGCTTCTTCTTGCTAGGTCCAGTAATTTTTTACTGAATGTTGGATATTATGAATTTTATGCTGTTGAGTGAGTGAGTTTTCTTATCTTTCTTTAATGAATGTTGGCATTTGTCCTGGTAGGCAGTTAAATTATTTAGAGTTTAGTCTGAGACTTTCAAATCTTGTTTAAAGGGTTTTCAGGGCAAGTCTGTTAGTATTTTCTATAGAGATATTTTACTGTACAACTAATGTGTGGTCTTTTGGGAGTTTCTAATGATGCCCCAAGTAATTAACAAGGTCTCTGTAGTCTAGTATCCCAGCTCTGTGAGAGCTCTAGCAACTAATTGTTGAGGTCACAAATTTCTTGGTTATTATTTACCCAAGATTTGAAGTTTTACCCTGTGGATAAACATCTAAATATTCAGCAAAGGTTGAGGGGGATCTCATGTAGAATTGAAGAGCTGTTTTTCTGTGTAGTCTCTCCTTTCAGAAATTCTACTTTGCTATCTCCATCCACATCAGCCTCCTAAACTTCAAACTCTTTCTCCTTGATTCAGTGAGACCACAGTGCTCTTTATGGAAAGCTCCTCCCTGCCATATGGTCCAGAATGAGAATTTGGACAGAAAACTGGGGAAATTTTAGGGCTTACCTCATTTGTTTTCCTTCTCTCATGGATCACAATCCGAATCTGCTTCTTATCTGATGTCTGAAAACAGTTGTTTCATGTATTTTGTCCAGTTTCTAGTTTACAACACGAGGTCTTCACTGTTACTCCACTTGATTGGAAGCAGAAGACTCTTTTTCACTTCTATGAGAAGGCAGATACTTTCATTATCATCTTAAGTATGTAGGGTAACCATGAGGATCAAAAGAGATATTACACAGCAGATTTACTCTTTTAACTCACAATGGAAAAGTTTTCTTTTATTTGCTCACTCCTAACACGGTAGAGATATGCTACTTACTTCGCATAGTCCTTTAATATGCAGAGCCAGTACAACAGGCAGATTCAAGGAAAAATAAAGTTAGAATGTATGAGGTAGCTTTGGTCCCAATATCCAGAAAGACCTGACCTGAGGTCAGAGTATCCCAGCTCCTAGGAAAGAGGTCTTACTTAGTAGTAACCCAAAGATATCTCTTCTTTTTTCATAGGGCACATTAAACAGTACTCTTAAAAGCAGAACCGGGCACTATGGCTCATGCCTGTAATTTCAGCTACTCAGGAAGCTGAGGCAGGAGGATTGCTTGAGCCCAGGAGTTTGAGGCTACAGTGAGCTATGATC